CCCCAGACATGTTAGACCACAGAACCCTGTAGGGTTGAAAGTGGAGGTTCTGTGCTAATAGCTCACCCTCTCCATGAAAAGTAATTATGCAGCCTAAGAGTTGGACTTCATGATCCCTTTGTGTCCCTTCCAACTCAGCATATTCTGTGATATCCTGTACCAACAGGGATGGATTTTTTACTTATATATTCATGTTTCAGCATCTCTTTGGACAAAACAACTCCACTGAAGGGGGAACATAAACCATTTCCTTCCCAGCTCAGAGCAGGATGTTTCTTGCTGGAGGATTTTGCTGCTCTGCACGTGTTTGGAGGCTCCAGTGCTGTTACAGGAGTGAAGGGATGTGGTGCAGAATGTCCCAGTTTCGTGCTCCGAGAATATTGTGTTTGTGATTAGGAAAACCCAGTTACATAATGGCATCCCATAATCACAAACATACCTGGCACTGAGCAGAATGGGGTTGTATGATTTATTCATAAGAGTTTCTTCATGCACAAACTTCTATTTATTCCCCTGCTGTAAGGGGAGAGAAATGTCAATGGAAGCTGCAATGGTGTGACATAAATGGGGAGCACAGGGGTCAGCCTTCCCTCTATTCAGGGATACTGAGAAGTAAATTTTTTTAGGCTTTTTATGGAGAAATTCATAGACCTTTGTGCTTGGGAGCACAAATCCTCCTTGGGTTTGCAGAGCCCAGCTGGACTGGGAAAGGAAAAGGAGATGCCAGGGAGATGCCTGCCCTGGCCAGTCTCTCACTCCTGGCAGAGTTTGGTGGGGCAAGGGTCTGGCAGTGTGAACAAAAACCTTAGAAATTTGAAATCCTGTTTGGTTCTTGGCTGTTTTTGGGGTTTGATAGGTAGGGGTGGGGTGCTGGGAGAGGTGAGCTCTGGGTCCAGAGCCCTCATCCAGCTCAGTCTACTGCTGGGGGCTGCTGAGCCCATGTGGAAAAAATGCAGCTACTTGCACCAGGAGACCCAAAGTTAGTAGTTTGTTTTCTATTTTTACCAACATCATTTGAAGAATATCTCCTCCAGTCACACCTTTGCCTGCTGATTGTTTTCTTACCTGCCATAACAACCCCGAGCAGCAGCAGCAGCAGGGGTTGTGTCCAAGCTGGATGCCCAGGGCTATGACGGGCTCCAGGTAGCCTGGGCAAGGTCAGAAACTTCTGTGAACCTCCTTCCCCTCCTCTTCTGCCTCAAAACCTGGTGTCCCTGGAGTCTGTTTAGGATGGCTCTGTCCTGAAGCCTGTTGAGGCTCAGCCTGGCACTAGTGTGAGGTGCAAGAGGAGGGCTGAGATCTGCCTCTCCCAGCTGAAAGGCTTTGCCTTGACCTCTGTAGCCACCTCCTTTTTTCCCTGAAAAGGGAGTGCTCACTCAGTGTGGGAGCACAGGTCCTCTCTGAAGGGTCTTGGCTGTTCCCACCTCTCTGAGGACATCCCTAAATTTTATGGTGCTTGCTGGGGGCCAGAGGGGCAGCCCAGTGATTCACTGCCTCAGTGGGAGGTTATTGTCAGTAGGAAGTAAAACGAAGTGCAAAGGCAATTTATCCTGGCCATTTGTCTCCTGTTCACAAGAGGACAAAATTTATCCCTGGGTGACATGTGGGTCCCTCTGAGGAACCAGCTCTGCATCTGACTGGGGCATGGGGCTCTCCCTCCTGTTTTAGCCATCATCACCCCACTCAGACACCACTAATCCCAGTGAGAGAAACTATTTATTACTGGGAAAGGGGCTCTGTAAGTACCTGGAAGGTGGTACTTGTGTGGGAGCAGTGCAGCCTTCCTGTGCCACAGCAGCACCTTGCCACGCTCACCCCAGCATCACCCCTGGAAATTCAAGAAATGAAAGCCCCTGGATCAGCAGCATGATCATGGATACAGATCTGCTGAGTTTTAATAACTTTTTTTTTTTTGTTAAAGACAGACCAGACCTTGAATCTCTTACCTACTTTCCATGTAAACAGCAGAGGTGCTCGCTAAGGGGAACAGCACCAAATAATCCCACTCTGGCTCTGTTTGTGCACCTGTACACATAGTAGGAAAGCATTTGTGTAACTGCAAAGAGTTAAAAAAAATCCCTTTACTGGAGCAGCTTGGGCAGGTTGGTGTTATGGGCTTTGAGCCATGTGTGGGGCATGTGTTTGTGCCTTGGTCCAGGGTTGAGAGCCAGTGGTGCCATGCACATGGCCTGGGGGGTCCCATCCTGCTGAGTCCCTCTTCAGGGTGCTGAGCTCACCCTGAGCTGCCAGAGCCCCAGCTTTTGAGTTGAGCATCACTGCCTGCTGCCGTTACTGCCTTTCCCTGGCTCATGTCATGTCTATTGTTCCGCTTGCTCTTGCAGAGGCGTCTCACTAGGGAAGAATGTGTCCTGCTCTCTGGCCAAAACACCCACCTCGGAGCTGTCAGGGAAGGACAAATTAGGTTTTATTTTATTTTAATTGGTTTAAAATTTATTTTTCATGTGAAGCCATATTATCACAGTGTTTGCCTTCGAGGGTGGATGCAACTTCTGCCCAGTGTTGCTTGTTTGCTCTCCCCATATCCTCCTCCAGCTGCTGGCAGCGCTGGCAAATCTCACATCTCATCAAGGGTGTTTCTTAAACCCTTGGGAAAATCTCGACATGTTTATTAAGTACATATTTGAGCAAAATAATTTTAAAAGAAACTTCAGAATTAGGTTTTCATCTCATTTCATAGACTCACAGAGTGGTTTGAGTTGGAAGGGGCTTTAAAGCTCATCTCGTTCCAACCCCCTGCCATGGGCATGGATGCCACCCGCTAGATCAGGTCACTCATTTCTGTAAGTTTCAGCCTATTATCTCAGAATTAACATGCTGCTTAAAGGGTATTTTTGAGGTTTGGATTCCCTAGAAATTCCCTCTTAGGTCTGATATCCAAGAGCTGAGATTGCTTTGGAACTTGGGAAGTTTGTTGTACTCTTAGCATCTCTTTGGTATCCTATAACCTGTGCTTGTGATGTTAGAGTTGGTTTCCTTTGATGGTCAATTATTGAAAATGTTGTAAAAGAGGTTTAAAAAAAGGCTAATAATTCTGATTGATTGAAAAAATATTACTTTAACATCTACTAGTGAAATCAACCAGAGTGCTCTGGTTCACTTCCAACAGAGAGACGTTGATATTTTTAAAGCTTTATGTGCAAGACATCACTCGGTGTTGCCAAACTCTGATTTAAATTTATACATCCTGGCTCAGCTTGTTTCTTAAAAAAAAAAATAAAAAAAATCACCACCAGCATAACAAATTCAGTATCTTTTCCTTATTGAAAATTTTTTGGCATCAGACGTCGTGATCTGCACAGTGTAGTTATTGTCTCTTTATCTGATCCAGTGACTAACTCGACATTATTGTTTCAATAATATTATTTCAGGCCAGGTAACATGCTCAGGTTACCTCTGTGATGACACAAAGTATGGCACTGCTTCCAATGAGTCACAGCTCCACAGTGCGTGCAAATAAATAACAGGAATGGTGAAAAATAACCCGGATCCTTTATTTTTAGCAGCCTAATGTGATACTGGTGGCACACGAGGCAGCAGATGAAGGCAGAGGGGAAGGAAGGGTGGTGGGTGCTACTGGGTGGGAGCCCCAGGATGTGGCTCAAGGGCTGGGCAGGGTGAGCAGAAAGCCTGAGAGCTGGACCTTGCCAGCTTCTTACCCTTTTCAAGGAGGTGAGAGAGTTTTGGCTGCTCTGGTGTGTGGGGTCTCAGAGGGACTCTGAGGTTAGAGGATGCTCTGCATCCAGCCAGGGCCTCGGTGGTGCCTGTTCTGGTGTCGGCAGCACAGCCTCACCAGGGTAAATCGTGCTGTAGGAGCAGCTCCAACTTCTTATCTCTCAAATAACTGTGGAGGAAACCATTCCCCACTCTTTGGTGAGGTGCCTGTGAGTGGCCATTCGTGTTCACAGTGTCCTTGGTGTGCTGTGTGCTTGGTCTGGCAACTGTGTCCTGCTCTGTGCTGTTGGTAAACGGGGTTGGGGTTCACACCCTGCTGCCCCTTGCCCTCCCCCAGAGGAATATGGATCATGGCTGTGTCTGCAGAGAGCCAACACTGGTGTCAGCACAGGGAGAGTTTCTGATGACTTGGGGAGCTGAGGAGGGGTTTAAGTCCCCTCCTGCTCCCTGTGTGCAGGGACACCCCTCACGAGGGGTGGCAGGGGTGGGTGGGGATATGCTGCTGTGGGATGTGGAGCCCTGTGCAGGCAGCCCAAATGTGTGTAAAGCCTGGAGTTCCCCTCGTGTCCTGGAGACTCATAAATGGTGGAAATTATACCTGTTGGAAGCCACTACTTGTGTTAACACCTGTATGAGCACAGGAGAAGGCAGTGTGGGGGGAAGAGCTCTCCCAGCCTCTCCCCTCCATCCCCATCCCGCTTGCTCACCCTGTGGGGGTGGTGATGGTGTTGGAGCAGACCCCATTGCCAAATGCTCTGTGTACAAATAGCACAGGCTCTGCTCCTGGAAAGGAGAAGCAGGAGAGCAGGCTGTGGGTCTGAAATGTTAAGGGAGGCTCTGTGGGATGGGGGTTGGCAAAATCCCTCTGTGTGGTGGGGGCTGCTGACTTTGGGGTTGGTTTTCTTTAATGTCAGCCCAAATTTTCACACTGAGGGTTGAGCTTTAGCCCTGTGGAAGAAGCAGCCTGACTTCCAGGCAAGTCTTTCTGACATATTTAAGAGGTGGAGGGAAGGAAGGAATTATTCCTACAAGTGGACAGAGAAGGATATTTCACCTCACTGAGGAGCTGGCTCTTCCCATTGCAGGTGATTTGTGGGATAATTGGAGGATGAGCCCCTGACATGCCAGGTCGTGGGGCAGAGCAATCCCAGCATCACTCTCAGTTCCTTGGCAAGTCTGGAGAGCATCAAATAACCAATTCTGGGCTACTCTTAGTTTGTATTTTTAGAATAATTGCTATAAACATTCTCTGGGATTTTTTTTTTAAAGAACCACAACAGCCATTTATATATTTAACAATATATATTTATATATATATATAATTTCTAGATCAGTACATTCATCAGTACTTGTTTTTCTTCACAAACAGAAGAACTCTTACAATAGTAGACTTTCTAAAATAAATACTATTAAAATAGAGCTTCAAAATAAATATTCTATACAAAGAAAAACCTTCTGTGGTAACGTTTCAGGGTGTACATGTGGTGGGGTGGTAAGAGGAGAAGGGGGAAACATTTCTCAGCGTGTCTGAGCATGGGAGGGGAAGGGAATACCCAGTGCTGAGGAAGGGTGAGGGCTCATCTGGGTGGCAAAGCTGGTGCCTGGGGAGCCACAAATTTGGTGAGTGCTCCTAGTGCCCAGTGGGTGCAGTGAGGGTGTATTTGTCTGTTGAAACTGCTCTGCTGGTGCTGAGCTCCAGCTGGGGCTGTGGTGTGGCATTGCCAGCACCGTCAGGTCACCCCTTCTTGTTTTCTGGGCTGTTGTGTGCGGGCAGAGGACAAACCCTGGCATGAACCTGCTGCAGCAATTAGCAGTGCTGCAGTAATTAGCAGTGCAGGCGCCCTGCCATCCCCCTCCTCCTCCAGCACCGTGCTGTGGTGCCACAGCACCTGTCCCGGGGAAAACCTGCCCTCACCTCCACTCTTGCCTTTATGGTCACCCCACCACAGTGATGTGGCTGGAGAGCCAACATCACTCCCGAGGTTTGTGCTGATTAGCAGCTGCCCCTCTGTTAGTGGGGGGACCCAGCTCGTGGGAGGGTGGCAGAGCTGCCACACTGTGCTCGCACTGGGGTGAGGTGAAAGGGCACCGTGACCAAAGGACATCTCAGGGGTGGCAGGAGACCCAAGTACCTTCAAAGGGGATGGGGGAATGGAGGCGTTGGGGTGGGGAAAGAGAGGGGAATAAGGACATTATTGACAGGAGCTGTACCCTCTGTACCCTCCGCCAGTGCTGCCGGCAGAGCCCCAGTTGTGGCCAAGCCTGCCCCTTTCCAAGTGCTCCATACAGGGCTCAGCACCTTCTTGCCACCCCTTGGGCTGGGAGCTGATGGAGCAGAGTCTGATGGCTGTGCCAGGAGCTGAGGAGAAGAGGGAGGGTTGCTCTGCTACATTGACCACTGCTCTAACACATCCACTAACGCTTTACAGCCTTCCAGCATGGGATCAGCTAACAGGGTTTATATATTAAAACAAACCAACAGAGAAATAGTTTACAGCTATGTACAATGAAAGGAAATCCATCTGGGATTGCTGGGTGTATGTACATGAGTGTAGATTGGCACAGTGGCAACCACTCCAGCGTTGTCTTTGCTCACAAGGACCATGCAGCCAAGCCATGGGCTTTGCTAGTGCAGATTTTCAGCACAAATCCCCCAGGAACAGCCAGGGACAGAGGGTCAAAAAAGCAAAACAACTTTGGGTGGAGGCCATTTGGACATGTGTGGTCCCAACAGAGGAGGGCAGCAGGTAAATACCTCTTCTGCTGTGTTTTCTAGTCTGTTTGCATCTTAGGAAAATGATTTCTCTTATTAAATACAATACCTTATACATTCAACCAACAGTTCAGCTAGTTTGGGGTTGGTTTTCCTGTTATCTTTTCCCCTCCAATTTGTGCAAGATAATAAACACAGCTCTGGATCCCTACCTGCTTCCTGGTGTCCCCATACAGCTAACATGAGGCTAAATTATAGGAACTGTTATCTGGGAACAGACATCATATCCCTTTTTCTATGATTTATCACGTACAAGCTAACAAATGTTATAAATATAGAAAGTTTGTTGTTTTTTTTTTCCAAATCTCCCCTTCAATAAATATCTACAATTAAACTTAACTAAACCCCAAGTCATCCAGGTGAGCTGAAAACCAAAGACACCAGTCCCATCAGTGCACTCCTGCCAACCCCTCACAGTGGCTGTATCACAACCAAGCCAACGGGATTCCTGGAAATGCTACATGAGCTCTGCCTATTGCTTATCTAATTAGAGATGACATTTCACTGTCACTGCTGTGCATTTACTGAGGAAATCTCCTCTAATTAAGAACGCAAAAAGAGACTAGATCAGTTTTCTGCATGCAACAAGTACCTACCTACTCATTAGAGTGTTGCATGTTTGGACAAAGATTTTTTGTTTAGCACCTTGTAGTTGTCAAGAGAGAGGGGTTATGGTATCCTTGGGAGGGGGTTGCTGCATCCTAAGAGAAGGTAGAACCAGCCCTAGGATGAGTGCATGGACACAGCCAATGATATTTGTATGCTGAAAACCATGGGCACATTTGTTAACTTTGCTCTCTTCCCTCCCCTGGCTTTCCCTAGGGTGTGTTAACACTAAAATAAACATTAAAAGCATTCTTTACATTTAAAAAGACACTTTTGTACAGAGGAGGCAAAAGTCCAACAGCAGCAATAGGGATGGGGGAATGGGCTGTACTTCAAGCAAATGCCATTCATCCCTAAGACAAAACCAAATAAAAATCTTAATATTTAATGAGCAAAGAAGAGCTTGTTCCAGGAGAGGAGGTACTGGATTGAAATCCCTAGAAAAATACACCTATGTGCACTGTACACTTCAGGTTTTGTGATTTCTTACCAGAGCTTAAGAGATTTAGAGAAACAAACACTGACCATCTTTGCTCTGTGGTGTGAGTTAAGATTCCCTTTGCTCCAGCATCGGGGAAACGAGCGCACACCTCGGAGAAATGGGATTTGGCAAACATCCTCCTGGAGCGGGTCTGTACAGTTGATGGAAAATTCATATTCCATTGAGTGAAACCTGATGCTATAGATCAGCTTACAGGCAGGAGGACCTGATGTTGATACAACTGCCTGAACACATCCTGCTGCTATTCCTCCCAGGAGGGAGCAGGACTGCTACCATCTTGCTTTAAAGAGAGGGTCCAAATCAACGTGGCCGGGTGGGATATGCCTAAAGGGTAAAAGACCTTTCGACAAACAAAATGTATCTTCACTTCTGGTTCAAAAAATCTTTGAGGGACACAGAAACCTTTTGAGAAACACGTACTGTGTGTGCAACCAGCCCTTCCAGTGGTGTGCAGGAGGGGAAGGAAGGTGGAGGGAGTTACCCCGTCACCTTCAACAGGCTGCTGGTAGCAAGTTGGGAGTTTGGAAGGAAAGAGGAAACAAGAAGCCCGCCCTGAATATGAATCCAAAGCAGCTTTCTGCAGCTGGGAACGGGTATTGCTTGTGCGGCCGTGCCTGCCAAGCGAGCAGTTAATGGTTCCTGCGGTGCACAGGCACCGTGAGCAGCCGTCCGTCCAAACTGGGAGATTTTAAGCAGCTGTACTTCATGATGTACGTAGGTTTTCAGCCTTCACTCTGCATTATTAACATTCCTCCTTTGGCCCCATCTATTTAAATTGTGACCAGTTCCAGAAACCCTGAATAACCCAAAGTGCTTCAGTTCGTGGAAATAGTTGCTTCTGCTTTCTCCAAAGGTGAGAGGCTAACATTCTCCTCAGAACACAGGTTATTAAAAAAAACCAACACCACCTGGCTCCGTGGAGCCTCCTCCCACTCCCCGTCCTCCCAAACTATCAAAAGGGCTTTTCTGGCCCTTTGCTCTCTGGCAATGCCTTGCAAATGACACTGTTTGTGTTTTTGCATCTGCATCCGGGCCGGCTCACTTGGTCGTAGCATCTCTGGGACAGCTTGACGCAGCCGGTGGCTGGCAGGTAGCAGAGCAAGCAGGGGAGCACCAGGGACAGGGCGCTCATGAAGGACCAGCGGGCACAGCAGTTTGAGTGGGAGCAGGAGCAGGGGTGGTCGGCGCAGGTGCCCTCGTCGTCCTCGTTGGTGCAGTGGTAGAAGACGCCCTTGACGAGACACATGCAGGTGGAGTAGTTGACCAGGTTCTGTGCCGAGCAGAGACACTCTTGGTTGCACACCCAGCACGACGGCAGAGTCCGGGGCAGCGCACACTCCTTGCACTTGCATTTCCCACAGGCTTCGCACAGCAGAAAGTGCTTGTCCAGTTCCTGAGACACGGGTCCCTTCAGGTCCAGGGGTTTGCAGTTAATCACCTTGGGCTGAATGCGAACTGCTCGGGGGGAGGACTGCTCTGCCACAGGCACTGGGGCCATGTGGTCCAGGAGCCTTTGGTCTGAGGATGTGCTGCTGCTGCTGCTGATGGAGCTGGGGCGCCCACTGAACGAAATCCAGGGATGGGTGACATCCTGCTCACAGCGCTGCAGGTGCTGGTTGGTCAAGACCAGTTCATGGGGGCCTCGAGGACGCTTTTGGGCTGCCAGGTGGGAGGCGGTGGGGTTGTCGGTGTAGTCGTTCTCGATGTGGGTTGTCTTCATCTGGTCGATCGGCAGGATGGTGAGCGGATGCTGCAGCCGCCCATAGGGGATCCGACTGTCCAGCAGGGGCTGGACCATCACAGAGTTGGGGACGACGGTGATGTTGTGGGGGATCCGGGGCTCCATTGAGAAAGCAGTCTGGCTACTGGTGAAAAAATCTGTGCTTAAGTATCCTGGGGGAAGGAAAGGAGAAAGAAAAGGGGTGGGGAGAGAGAAGGACCACATGGTTATTGAGGTATCCTGCAAGCCCAGCCCACTGGGGATCTTCACCGAGACTGGTTGTTATGTAGAAGGTCTTACAAGGTAGAGTCCAAGGGAGTCAGAACACTTGCCCAGGTATAAAATGCCTCCCTCTTCCTTTGCTACTGTGTTTCTCTCCCTAACCTTGGCTTCTGGTCCTGGCAGGGTTGCAGTCACAGCAGGCTCCTGAACTGCCCACTCAGGGGTTTTGCTGAGGCAAAGCACATCTCAGGGCTACTGGTGTATATACACATGTGGGTTTGCCAGCAAACTCCCTGAAATGACTTATCTAAGCTTTGGGGGTTTTTCCCAGTTGACCCTGATCCCTAAAAAGGATCCTTGCATCCCTGATGCAAGATTGTGGCTTGCGAGAGCATTGGCGTGGTACAAAGGTGCTTCGGAGCGTGGGGCTGAACACCTATCCCTGCTAACCCAGAATCTGCCTGTGGGAGGATGACTTGGTTTTGGTAAGGAAGTGTCCCATCTCCATTGGGAGCTGCTGATTCCAAAGGCTGCTTCATCTCTCCCGCGGGAGGTGGAAGCGCTTGCTCAGCATCTCGTCCGGTGGCAAACCACGGTGGGAGCCAATGGTGCAGCACCCAGAAGAGCACCCACATGGGCCTGGCTTGACCCATCACCTCACACAGGTAATGAGACACTCTTCTTCAGCCCACTAAGTGCACTAATATTTAGCTGAAGTGCTGTTTACCAGCCGTTCTGGCTGAGCCGTCTATTGCCGCAGTTTCTAATTTCATTGAAAGAGTGCAATTTATCCTGGAGTCGATCCAAAGATTCAGCAGCGGCGTAGGACAAGAAACCACAGGAAGTAACTAAACTTAAATCAAAGAACGGAAACGACTCGGTTCAAATTTAGAAAGTGCACATTGTTTTCTAGTAGATGTGCCATTTCCTCACGGGGTGACCTTTATTCATAAATAATATAATGCTGGAGATCAGTTGAAAGAAGGGGTGAGTAAAGCTTCAGAGCAAGTCACAGGAGGGGAAAAGCTGCTGGTATCAAGAAAAAGGGAGTAGTGAACAGCTTAAGGCATTGCCAGTTGTTTGTGTTCAACAAATTAACCTTCTCCAACAGCGTGAAAGATTTGGACTTGGCAGTGCTGGGTTAACAGCTGGACTCAATGATCCTAAAGGTCTTTTCCAACTGAAATGATTCTGTGATTTTAATATCACGGCAATCTGAAAAAATGTCAGGAAAAAATTGCATCCAACTACAACAAGTTATACACGAGAAGTGTGTGTGTGTGTGAGTAAACGTGTGCACTGCTGCAAGAGGACGTCCCCCCTAAAATTAACACAACACTTCAAAAATTGGGGTGTGAACTAATTCTGCATTTTTGCAAGGAGGAAGGGAAGCGCTTTTTTTACCCGCTGAAAAATGCTACGAGGGTCCGCGGTTTTATTTGCAAATCCTTGCTTTGATGGATCACTTGGCGTTTGGGGTTGAAAATGTGCTGCTTTTCCCGGGATCAATAGGAGGGAGGGAGGGCTGACGCCGGATGGGCCGGAGCGTGGGCAGGACGGCACATGCCTCCTGGGGATGCCGGCACCGCGTCCGGCCTGCCGCGCTCCTTTTGTCCGCTGCACAAGACCAGCAGGAAGAAGCGCTTTATCGAGCAGTAACGATGATTATTGTCATGCAGCCCTTATGCTGTTTCTCTTCCCCCAGTTAAAATTCTCTGCTGGGTCTTAGCCATTCATTTGAATTTTTTTTTCTTTTTTATTTCATTATTCATAGCTCGTTGACATCCTGACTGGAGGAACAAGAGAGTTTTTAAAGCATCTATTCCTAGTTACTGTATGTAAAAGAACAAAAGCAACCAATGATTCTGACAACTATGGGACACGCAGAGGGAAAAGAATTTGATTTTCTTTTGTGCATCAAAATCCAGTGTCATGATCTAAAAAGTATCTGCTGCAAGTCAGAGTTTAGCAAAATCATCAGTTCTGTGTCAGTTACATTTGCAGAGATATTTTGATTTCACAGGTTTTTTGGGGGTTGTTTTTTTTTTTTTTTTAAGGAGAAAGATGCAGCTGTTTTGGCTGCCAAGAGTAAGTGCAGCAGAGCTGATCTTAGATGGAAGGTAGCTGTAGGAAATGGTGGCTCACTGCACAGTGTTACCAGCCTGTCTGATCCTTCACGTCCCTGCCAGCACTGCCTTCGTGGCCTCTCCAGAATTTTTAAATCACCTCTAGCACAGGGCTCTATGTGCTCACTTCCACTTGTTACCAACTCTCTGGAATCTGCTCCACTCACCAGGTTTCAACTGTATCCATGGAGCATCATTTATTTTAAGGTGCCCTGTGTGACAGCACACAGAAGAGCTGCTCTGGCCAGGCAGTGACCTGGTTGTCCCCAGGACAGCACCTCTGTCCCAGGGTGGCACATTAAGGCTGTTCTGCACTGCTGTGGGGAGCCCCTCGCCCTGGCATGGGAGAGCAACACCCTTGGAGTTGGAATTTAGGCTTTAGATTAACTCTATAGTCACCCAGCCTGCAATGGTCCAGAGCCAGCAATGCCATCACATGGAAGTCATGTCCCTCTCCATTAATTTGGAGAGGGATTATAGCCACAGGCACTCTTAAAACACCCAACCCCCAGCACACAGACATGGCCATATGCAGGCAGACGTTAAAGATGGCTTATCTGAGATAATGCTAATCAAGATTTCAGAGTTAATTACCACAGAAAGGAGAGGCACCCTGCACTAAACACCACACTTGAGGATAGTTAATGTTAGAAGTTATTAATCAACTTATTTCAATATAAACCAGTTTCAAATTGTCTTTTTACCAGGCAAACTATTTCTGAAGGGCAAGGGAAGCCTGACACTGTGAACTCAAAGACCCTGCAGGTGTCTGGACACAGGGTCGACTTGGAAAAAACCTCTGGCATGAAGACAGACAAATAAGATCCAAGTCTCCCAATTCCCAGAGCCTTGTTCTGGACACAATGTCTCTCTGGCTGAAGATTGCCTTAAAACACCACAGATAGGCACCCTACTAGTTTTTGGTGCTTGGACACATGGTCCTTCAACTTCTGCCCTGCCCTCTTGTTCCTGTGTGGAGGGTTTCCACAGTTAAATACTCTCCCCTTTCAAGCTACTCTTAACAGACAAATATTTCTGATGTTTATGGAATTTTCTAAAGACCATGACTACGTTGCTGCTGCTGGTCTTGTCACCAGAAATTCCAGCAGTGCAGTGAGATCACTGGTGACAGATCCAGATCAAACACCTCAAGTGCTGAACTCAGGAGTGAGCTGAGTGGTGTTCATCCTGCAAGGAGGCTCTTCTCCCCTGGGATCTGCCCAGATGACAACAATGGCAATATTTTACGGTGTGGTTGCTTCAGTTTTTTGTCTGTGTGTGTCCACTGGCACGTGCCATGAGCACACCTTTCCATCAGCTGTTTGTGCTTTCAGCCTTATATCTGCATCCCACAAAAGGAAAGATTTCAGCAAAGGGCACTGGGCACACAGCGCTCCATCTCTCATGGCAAAGGAGGAATCCAGTCAGGTTAAGGATTTGTGCTGGAGCAGAAGGAAATCAAGAAGCCAGACAATTCCTGTGGAGTCTCACATGCTGTGATGTGCCTGCCTGGATACCTGCATGGGCCCTGGTGACTGCTGTGGACAATCCTCCAAGACATTATAACTTGACCTTTTCTGGTTGTTGTACATCCAGAAGCAAGACACCACTCCCCTCACCTCCCCACCAGGAACGACTGTGCATGTGGGGTGTTTGCCAGCAAGGACAAGGTTCCCTCGAGCAGCAACACTGGTAATGTTTGGGATGACCTGGCAGAACTTTAGACCTTGAAAAAGGGCAAGAGCTGAAGGGGCATAATTTTGAGGCTTCTTGCTCTGAAGGCAGTTGAGCAAGGAGGGGGTTCAGAGTGGTCAGTGGTGTCTTGTAGTTGCTATTGTTATGTCAGGTGTTGGAGTGACCTAATTGAGCATCTGGCTGGAGCTGGTGTGTGGAGCATCCCCGGGTAGATGTGGTGACAAACATGAGCCACTTGGTTTGGGGAGGGAAGAAAGAACAGGCTGGGCTGTCCATCTCCCTCTCTCTTCAACTAGAGTGCCTGAATCTGGCTGTGGAGCCAGCCTGGCTCACAAAGACAGGGACAGTTACCAGAGATGAACTGCCAATGTCAAACCCCCCAGGGAAGAACATTTCTGCTGGGGGGGCTCATTGGCTGTGCTAAGAAAGGACTGAGGTTCATGATGGCAAGGGCAGCTGGGTATTGCTTGCAGATATTGAATTCATTGCTCAGATTGAATAGATTTAATATAACAAGATGTGTCATCTACAGAGGATTGCGGATAAAAAGAAAGAGAAGGGATAGTAAAATAGAATAGGAGATGTAAGATACTTAAGCACCATAACTTAGCAAAAGCTATGAAACTTTATGCAGTGCCTTTGTCATCCACTGCACTAGACCAGCCTGGCTGTAAACTGTATTTCAATTGAGAAAAAAAGCCATACTGAATACAAAATTAATTAATTTTTCATAATTGGTAATTACAGATACAGCATTAACACAGGCATGAATTCACTGGTTGCAATTGTACAGGTAGTGTTCTTAAAGTAGACAATAGGAAGAAAAATTCAAGAGTATGTTCTTACATTGGTAATTTTTCATTCTTTATAGGTTAATGAAACAATGAATTTCTTTTCAAAGCAGACATGTCAACAAACTCCCATGCAGAGAGAAATTTCTCTTCCGCCATGCCATCCAGGGACTCACCACATACAATTTTCAAGTCAAAATATACTTCCTTCTAAGGGAGTAAAATTGGACTCAAAAGTCAAGTTCGTACACGTGCTGCAGTGTTTGTTTCATCACTTCATCAAGATATTGCCAATTTAAAATTACTGTTGTACTGGGTAATTACAAGTCCTAAAGTTGT